AAAATGTTACCTGGGCACTTAGGAAGGAACAGGGTCATATACTGTTTATTAGAGCCGAAGCAGTTACGACCACCGTTAGCCGGGCGTGGATTGGTACACGTTCTGGTGCGACATCTCCCATTTATGATAATGCCTCCACATGTCCTTGAGGGMGAAGACCATTTTGACCATGCAGACCAACCTCCATCAATTGACACTATATRAAAAAGTATAAATGGAATAAGAGCAAATTTAAAAACTGATAAGACTTCATACCCGAAAATATTTCGAAGTATTTTTTAAGAACAAATCATGTTTTTATTGCAGTTACGAGAGCTAAATGAAAGGAGATTGCAAAATGTAGTTTGTTTTGAAGAAATATGATTAAAGTTTTTGCGTTTGTAAGATTTTTGGCAGCTCATGCCTAAAAAGTTGCAAGAACACTGGACTTCAATTTTGCTCAAACTTTGCACATGTTTTCTAAAACGCTCTCTTTAAAGTGTTGAGGAAATAAATTCCTTCACATCAGATAGACTTGATTCTGTAGCGAGCACAATTGATGAAAATCCCATCTTCGTGGAATCATAGTTAATTAACTATGCTTAGGCGGTCGAGACAGTTCATTGTGATCGGTCGCAAAGGTCCTCTTATTTACAAAGATGTCCAGGGRAGGAAGTTGCGAAGCGTCGTCCAAGGACAGTTTATTCAAATTCAATTTGTGTCAACAAAAGATTAACTGTTTACTGAATAAAATTTCGTAGTTCACGTAAACCGGCATTAAACAACCCGGCCCTGGTGATGTAATGATAAACACTGTTGTTACACTTGACGTTTTGACAAAGTGGAGGTTACTTTCCCTGATATCTAAGAAACCTTAAATGACAACAATGGAGTGACGTATTTTCTTTTTTGTAGATTCACCTTTGCAAGATTGTTTCTCACAGCAAGAACTTGTCTGTCGACCAGATCCCCAGCACTGACGACCACCATTAGCCGGCGGAGGATTGGWGCACGTTCTTGTACGGTGCTTGTATCCTTTACCACAAGTCCTAGAACACCGAGACCAATAACTCCAATTTGACCACCCACCATTCACTACAGTGAGAATTAATGTTAATTAAGACATCTTGAGATGGGGTGACCTAGGTAGCACGCAGTTGATGTAATGTGTTCATAAAATGTATTGTATTCCATTGTTTCTCGTTCTATTGTATTATGTGTTTTGTATTATATCTTTATGAATATATTACATCAACTGAGTGCTACGTAGATTCTCCCTAGTTGAGATAGGGTACCGCTACGTAGTTAAGGGCTAACTCCTTTGTTTTCTTTTCCCTGGAGGATTGAAAACAAAAGAGTTTGGCTCTACGCCTAGGGGCACCCTATCTCATGTAAACAGGGCCTTAGATCGTTTTTTGTCTACTTGATTGACTRTGAAGTCTTAAACCCGTGAAATAAGATTTGACTTGATAGTCAATCAGTAGACACAAAACGACGCAATAAGAGAACACTAAGGTGTATTATTGTAATATCTATTTAACGTTTTTTTTTTTACTTTATTATAAAAATAAACACGCGTGGTTAGTTAATTCTCCATGTGTTGGTTGCACTGATCTCAAATATTGGCTCGCAGCAATTTTAGTCCTGTACTTTGATGCATAGTTAGTAGAGGAGAATGTTGCCCTCTACTATTGATTTTTGATATGAATTGATAAGACACTCGCGGTAAATACAAAAAAAATGTTTCCCTTATTTTTATAAATAGTTTGAATAAATAAAGAAGAAGCAATTGTTGTGTTTATGGACTTTATGATATATCCTAAATCTGTTAGACACCCTTACCTTTACTGTTCGACTCRCAGCATTTCCCAGTGTATCCCATCTTGCAATGGCATGAGTTACTTTGCCAGTCAAACACCCCACCATTCAAACATACAASTGGRCTATTACAAAATCGGTATTCGACCAGGCTATGATGGCACTTTCCTCCACATTTTTGGATTTTGGTGATTTTTCGACTCCTCATTTGACGGCCATGTCCGCCGCATGTTGCACTGCAATGACTCCAGCTGCACCAATGAYTTACTTCACAATTCTTTGGACGGCATCGACGGCGTGAGCGACGACGTTTACGCCACCAGAGTTTTTTAGTTATCTGTTCACTAGATGTTAACTCTAGTAAGGTGCAAAGTGCCAGCAGAAACGCGAAAAGAAAATAASTAGTCTTCATAGCGCGAGAATCTGCTAAAAAAAGGGCACTTWGTTGCCCTAGTCAGTGTTATGAAGTATTAAGCTCTAGTATTAACTAGGAAAAACCAAGTCTTTGGTATCGTCCCACAGTTACTCTACAAAGGTATGCAGCTTTTATTKAAATGCCTTTGTCAAGTAGTGCAATATTTAGTTTAGTGGATCTTTACTTCATCTTGTGTACACATTACAATTACATCTGCAAGTCTAATCAATGGATCCCATTAAACACCGGCACCGTCAATTACTCGTCAAAATATCATGTCTAAGTAGGATTGACGGCGAAGACTTCTAAACATTTATGAAGGATTTCTATCCTCAAATCAAAATTTCATTGCAAGGTGTAGGAATGGCAGAAGTTCGTACATGAAAGCTAAAAGAATTATTTCATCACTAAAATGAGAGCATTTAGTGTTAAAGATTACAGTAGAAAGAGGCATGGAACAGAAAGGAAAGTGTAATATATTAACACAAAAAGGTTTGGAGTTGATTACTTTTGTCTAGGTCACACAGGAATGCATTTTCACAAGATTAGTTCTTTATACACATACCCGTTATATGGTTCGTCAGTGGTCTTCCAGTTCATTGGAATTTGCGTGGGAGTACATAATACCGTTGTGGAGCTGACCGTGCGTTGCTTGCCGGAAAAGAAAAAAATTGATCTTTTGATAATGAATTTCATGAGGTTTTGAGCTAGGCTATCGATAGCTACGGCCCCCGGGCCGGCTTGCCACGACTGCTGAACCTCTCGAGTTATTTTGCTCAGTGGTATCCTCAGGCCTGTTTTCAGTGAGGGAGGGCCGAGTTGATTATATATTAGCAAAGTCATGATTATTTTCTGGAGGACCCTCTAAAATAGAAGCAATTTTTTAATAGGACTTCCTTTACCATTGTGCCGTAACCTATACCCCTATATTGCAGTTGCCAACAAATATGACGATCTACTCTGTTCGCAGAGTAATGACGATCTACTTCTGTAAAATACTAAGGTACCCAAGCACTTCGTTTTGCCGTTTTAAAAATTTGAACTCATCATTTTCTGATGCTTCTTGTGATCCTCAGATGATTGATTGGTTATCTTTGGATGATTGGTTATCTTGATTCAAGGAACCCCTCAAAGCCCTATTACAAGAACCCCTTTTTTTGACGATGAAAATTTCAAGGTCACTCATTTTATCACTCGCCTCCTTCCTCCCATTTAATAATAATGAAGAGTTCCTGATTTGTATAAAATTTTCAGCCTCATTGCTCTATCTTAGAAATAAACTTCAACTGTATCAAGCAAGCACAAAATAAATCAAATTGAAATGGGAAAAGAGCTGGTAGCATGAGATCTATTTGGGGTTCCTGTGTTAAAATGAAAAATCCCATGATTCTCATCGAGCAGTCATTCGAAGAACAAGATGGCGGCCTCTGGTGACGTGGACGAACTCTTTGACATTAAAAACCATTTCTTTATAGGAAATTACCAAGCATGTATAAACGAAGCACAGAAAAAGCAGGTGCGTTTCATGTTTAACCTTAAAATTGGTGATTTTGGCGTATATATTCTTGCAAAGATAGAGTTTTCTGCCTTGTATTATTATGATGTATGCACGTAAAGCTTATTCTAAATGTTGCCGTCACTTTTTATTTCTCTTAGTTGGAGAGAAAAGATAGAATCTCTTTCCACTGCATCCTTTGTCTTAAAGTAAAATATAATAAGTTTGTCAGAACGATAAAGTTATTGTATGGTCATAGGACACTGTATTTTGGTAGTAGTTTTGTAAGATAAGTTTTACATGTAGCTATGGATGGTAAATTCATGGTTAACAAGACAACCAATGACCAATATTTACAGGCAGAAGTTCACTTATTTATACTACATTGGCAGAGCATTTTTTTGTTATTAAATGATAAATAATTAGTTTGCATCATATACATGTACCATTGCCATAATTTTTTCTGGGAAAGGATAATATAAGTATTTACTTAAACTGTATAATTTTTCTATTTTGTATAACATTGCATAAAKCCTCAGAAGTACTAAAGGTTTGTTTATTTGATTTATACTCAGCCATCAACAAGAGAACTTATAATTGAAAAAGACATTTATATGTACAGAGCCTACACAGCACAGGTAAGTTGCCACTATTGACAGGCACCTACATGTACAATACCAATGTCAGGAGGGGAAAAGTGGGGGGTGTTAGCTATATCTTCATGTGACCAAGGGAGTTGGAATGTGAGGTCCATCCCTAGGGAGGGACTTTGACAATACCTTATTGAATRAATTGTCTGTCATTCTTATATATCTTGATACCTTTGTTAATCTATTAACTTTTTGTGTAGGGGGGAGGGCTGGGAGGGGGAGTTTTGACTGCTTTATAAGCTTCCCTGGCTTGGGTTCGATATACTTGTAGGTGTATTATACCAGGTACATGTATTTTAAGCATTTCATATCTAACTACATGTACTGTAGTGTAGAGCTATAACTTCTATGAACATTATCAATAATACAATAACAATTTATATGTTTACYACACTTGTGTAACTTCTTGCACACTGATTGGCTGTGATTGAGTGTGCCAATAGGAGGACATATACAGTATGTTACATGTATGCCGACACCACTAAATCTTTTGCACTCTATTGAAAGAAAAGAATGATTTTCGCTAAATTTTTAAACTTAAAATACATCTTTATTTTAAGTCTAAAAATTTAGCGTAAAAAACAAATTTCACGTGGGTTTTCATTGTATGTCCTCTTATTAACACAGTCTTGACATCATAAAATATTATGTTGAAAAAGCAAAGCATTTTATTATTTTAATTTCATTATTTAATTTCAGGGTAAATATGGAGTTGTATTAGATGAAATTTCACAGCTATCACCTCCTGAAGTCCAGCCAGTTCGAATACTCGCAGATTACCTTCAGAATACCAAGAAAAGGTGTGTGATAAATTTAGTGTGTTCACTAGTGTTGTGATAAAAACTCTTTTTGAAAAAGGGTTAGAACAACAAACAAGTTAATTAGGTATTAATAATAATAAATCATAATTATGATAATGATTATCACAATAATGTCCTTATTTCATTCGTTATAATACATAACAAATGTTACAGTTACTTAAAATAAATTATCATAAAGTACATGTATGTTACTTAGATACACTTTCTGTAGATCAGTATTCAGTATAAAGTCAATAATGTTGGCAATACATGTACATCATTATAGAATGAAAGAACTTGTGAATTGGTAAAGCATTTGCAATTTTACTGTGATGCTCAAAAATTCTTCCAAAATTCAAGTCCATCTAGTTGAAATGTATCATGCTTTTGTTTCAGGGCAGCAATTGTTGATTCAATAGAGAAAAGGCTCACTTCGTCCAGCGATATCAATGACTACTATTTGTTAATGGCTGCATCAATCTATGTACATGAAAAGGTAAAAAAAAATTAACTATGGAGATGCTTAAATAGGTAGCTGAAAATGGACCGAATTTGTTAGTAATATTTCTCTAGAAACACGTNTTCTAAAATTAAAAGAATACGAAAATTGTAAAGAATTCTGACTTTTGATACGATATGAAACGATGAATTCTCCTTACATTGCAGTTGTCTGCAGCTTCTGTAGATTCTAAAACGTTTGATGGCTCTTCTTCTGGGATATCATCCCAGAGGACATCATAAATAGGCATTTCTTCGTTCATTGTTCTTTAAAATGAATGATAACAACAACAAATGCAAACGACGTGAAAAAAGAAATTTTTGACGCGCGCGAGCGTGTTTTGATACTGTAATCAAACATGGTTTTCGACCAATCACAGCGCGCGTAGTATCCTAAATATTTTAGAAACTACAGTGTATGTCTTATGGTTTGAATTTTAGAGCTATGATTTGGCACTAAGATGTCTTCACCAGTCAGAATCACTAGAATGGTACAGTACAATCATTCTTATTTACAATTATGAACAATAAATGCAGTCGATAGCTTCCTATCACTCTTCCCTGTTACATTTTGAAGTGGACTTTGCATCAAAGTGAGTCTATCATTGACAGAGCAGTGTCTGTTATCTCACATTGATGCAAAGACATGGCTACCTTTTTGAGATGGCAAGGGTTACCCTGAAGGAGACTATTGTGATAGTTTTTAGTGGATTATAGGACAAATAAAAAAAAAAAAGAAAACAGAAGAAGAAAACGAAAAGAAGAGGAAAAGAAAAACAATGYAGCAATGTTTTGTAGTCATCCCAACAACATTTATAATCAGATCTATATAGTGAATAAAAAGCCTCATTCAAATACTTGTACATACTTTTATCAAGAACAATTCAGTGACACTAATTTTAGTTYTATGTATCTTTTGTAGTTCTGCCCTTTGTGTGCAAATCTTTATAGCAATGAATAGAATAGATCTTGCCAAGTAAGTCAATTATACAGTCAATGTTATTCAACAAATACATGTAGATGTACACTGTACACGTCAGTTATACAAGTACACATTATTTTGAGATAAATGAGAAGTGTTGCTCAACCTTTTTATGGTGTTGTGTTGATGTATAACCAGTTTTGATTATTGTTTATTTCTTTATCTTTTTTTACTTAGAAAAGAAGTTAAAAAGATGCAGGTGAGTCTCAGTAGTGGAAAAAAATTGTAGTTTAGATGTAATATTTGTTATTCTTTATTATCTGGCAAAGTTTCTTTAAAGTTCCCTGAAGTTTCTTTGCTTCTTTCAATTTCTTRTGCAAGTTGATTTTGAATAATGTAAKGGGAGGTTCAAGATGTTTTGATGATTAATTTTTGGAGGGTCTTTTTGTGCTACCCATTTCAAAATTCCTCACCCCTACCCACTGGACATTTTTTTACTGTCATAATTGAAGTTTTGCATGTCAGTAATCTCTAAATGGCTCAGTGTACATGTATAGGTTCGTAGTACATTATAAACACACAGTGATTTTATGACTGGGTTCTTCATAATATGTATTATTGTKTAATAGGAGATAGATGATGATGCTACCTTGACTCAGCTAGCCCTTGCATGGTTTAATATGGCTGTTGTAAGTATTGCTTCAACACTACACACAATCTTGATGATTTTTGGCCTATTTATGAATGATAGATATGCCACACATGACATCTTCCCTGCTGAATCATCTCTGCCATCTTTGATACTGGTTGTGTTGCAGCAAAGAATAGAGATTTTAGTTTTTATTTTGACATGTAGGCAAAGCCAAAATCTCTGTTATTTSACTGTTTTATCAGAAATGGTTGAAAAACAAATTTGATTTCACATTAAGTGGGTTATCAAAATAATTAGTTTACAGTTACATGTACCAATACAGTCAATCCCATGAACGTAGTGCAATTGTGAAGACATTAAGAAAATAACAATTTCATTTGCAAACATGTATATCATATTTTCAATTTCTTTGCAAAATTATCCAACATAGAGCTCAATTATTTATTTACAAAGACAATGACATTCAATTGGCTATTTATCTAGAGTTTTGAATTAAAATTCATCCTTGGCATTGTTTTAAATTTTAACAATAAAAGTTTGTCGAATAAATTTGGAATATAAAAAAAAATTGCTATGGAAATGACTTTGTTGTTATCTCTATGTCTTTACAAGTAAACAACATTAATGAGATTGACTACATGATTGTGAATGACAAAAGCACAGTAATTTCAAAGGTTTGGTTGTAGTTCACAAATGTTCAAGAGCTGCACTTGTAACAAGTGAAACAAATCACAAACAGAATAAGCATTGTCTTACAGTCACGTTCAAATAAAATAGAAATATTATGTCAAATACATTGTAGGGTGGAGAAAAATTGCAAGATGCTTATTACATATTTCAAGAAATGGCAGATAAGTACACTCCTACWGTAATGTTACTCAATGGACARGCAGCAGCCTATATGCACCAGGGAAAGTATGAAGATGCTGAAAGTTTCTTGCAAGAAGCCTTGGAAAAGGTCAGTAGTAAAAAGCTGTAGCTTTCTCTTATCCAAATTCATGTTTTAATGGGTTATACATACATATAAACCAGAGACCTATCTGTGTGTACATGTATTATTGTATAGGGTRRAGTGGAATTCGTATGRCTGTGCAAAAACATGGTTCATTTCAAGGACACAGCATGKTCACAGATCTWATCCTAGTATTRATGCCAAATGAAAATTGTGATACAAGAAYACATCACCCTCATGGCGAGCCACRATTACTGCTCAAAACTCCCATGTTTTTTTGCACAGTCATAGAAARTCCACTCTATGTGMAAATGTAAGTCTGTACAGYGTGTCACATTCTTTAACTTAAATMTGCATCCTTATCAAGTCTTTAAACTGCCATAATCCCCTCTCTCATCATTAAGTAATATTTTCATACTGTAAATCTGTGCCAATCTAGCCAGTTCATATGTGAAATATTTGTAAAGTCGTGCATGCATTTTGAAATTATGTGGTACATGTATATTGAATATTGGGCCAGGGTAAACCATGGAATTTCACAATGAAAATGTAAACTGACATCAAATTATAAGTTTACCTAAGTAATTGAAACTAGCTTTGACAGATTAATGGCTAATTAGTGTGTGAGGGATTGGAGTCATTTGAATTGAATTTTCATGAAAATTTCATAACATTTAATGTTATCTTTAGTGATAGTGTATGTTGCTCTTTGATACTACAGGACAGCAAGAATGCAGAAACACTTATAAACCTTATTGTGGTATCTCAGCATCTCGGCAAAACACCTGAGGTACATGTACATAAGTTTATACAACTTTTCAGTAAAATCAGACGTTTTGATTGGTTGGATTTCGTGTGTTATCAAAGTATAGATACACGGATTACGTCAAAACTAATTGTTTGTTGTATAAAACAGATAGATCTCATTTTTCTGTGCGTGTGTACTCTAATAGATACACAGATGACGTCAAAATGTAGTGAGAACAACAGTCACGCACTCGACTGCGTCTCGTGCGTACTTTTTTGTTCTCACTACATTTTGACGTCATCTGTGTATCTATTAGAGTACACACGCACGGAAAAATGAGATCTATTTGTTAATTGCAAAATGTGTTTATTGTTCAAAGAATAATATTCAGAGTGGTTTTCATAAACCTGTCAAATACACTTTACACATTACACTTTTTTACTCTTTATTGTGTGTTTTTTTGACATTTTGTTTATCATAGCAATGTGTGCAGTTTTTTTTTTGTTTAATTTTTTATTTATTTCTAAACTAGGTCAGTARTCGTTTAATATCCCAGTTGAAAGACGGCCATCCTGACCACCCATTTACTTGTGATTACACCAACAAGGTAAATATTGCTCTGACTCATTCTTTGATTATGCTAAAATTGATGTCAAATGATGGCAAATACAGACTACATATCTATCATGGTGTTTCCAGTAAGATTTTTSAAGCAATGTAGAGTAGACACCAGTAAAGTGTGAAACAATTCTCAGTGGTGGATCCAGGGGGGGTTGCATGGGTTCCTAGAAACCCCCCTCGAGCATTAAAAAAAGATAAATGATAAATGAAATGTGGGTGTCTTAACATTTACTACAGTTCGAGAGGCACAGTAAAAAAGTTCGTTTTAGGAAAATGCAAAAACAAAGTGGAACGCCCCTGTGAAAAATCCTGGATCCGCCACTGATTCTTAACTATTTAGCTCCTAATAAATTTACTTATCAACTACATGTACGTTATGCAATAACTAAGAAAGGCARTGAAAATAAAAGAATTCCTTTCAATTCTTATGTCATTGTGTTTATGCCTCTTTGGTGAATTCTTAGTTGTTATGTCACAGATCCTAAATAGACACTATTAGCACGTTAATTGTTTCTTAGAGTCGGATATGGAGTCAGTTTCGTGGAATAGATATTACACTAGTACATCTTAGTCACTATAATTGCATTGTTGTCTTTTGTGTCTATTTGACTGTCACACTTTATTAGTAAAATTCGTTTCATGGGTTTAATGAAAGAAAGAAGTAGTGAACTTATCAAATAGTGCTAATTGCCACTAACAATATATTCATTCTTTGTTTTGAATTCTCTAATCAGTGGTTAGTACAAGACTATTGCATGCTTTTTTAAAACATTKAAATGTTTGAAGTACATAATGATGCATTGTTTCTTTCAGGAGCAAGAGTTCGGTCGCTTAGCTGAACAATATGCAGCAGCATGAACACATGGACTCTCAATCATAAATACTTACCTTAACCAAACTAGTTATCAATAGTTACATAATGTATTAAGAGCATAGAAATACTACATACAATAAATGACTTAAAATTCCAGACCAATTATCAACAGCTGAACGTGGTGATGATCTTGATCAGGACAAGGAAGTAAATTTATGCTTCATTTCGATATTTGTCATTACCATGGTGAACTTCTACTCAAAGATCTGTATGTTTTATTGAAAAATAAACTTTTAAAATCGCTGGACAGTTTTGTTGGAGTAAACAAGATTAATCTGTGAAATAATAAAAAATCTATATGACACAAAATTCTGCACTATTAACTTCTAAGTAATATATAAAATATGAGTGGGAGAACTTCTAAGTAATATATAAAATATAAGCGGGAGACCTTTATAGGCATTATAGCCCATAAAGTTTAGACGGGAATATTTTATATTGCTTATCAAATTCCAACAAGGTAAAGCATATTTTGAAAAAAAAAAACTTCAGGATAAAATATCATTTTTAAGAGAAAATCGAAGTTAAAGTCGTATGCAAATCAGGACAAATCGCTTTTTCATAAAAAGATGTGGTTACGGCAATGGTTTTCCATTGTGTTTACCTTATGAATTATTAATGAGTTTGATAAAACTTAGAAAATACCCTCTTGTTGTGTGCATCCAAAAATGTGTTTGGAATGTCATAATGTATAAAAATGAGAACATTTGAACTAGAGGGCACTTTACAGGTGATTCATATAATAGGTCTTCATTCAAATTACTACTTCAAATCACACAACCACGAGCACAAAGCTTTTAACATTTTATGACTTCAAGAGTGTGTCAATAAAAGGACATGAAAAACATGAAAATGAAAAACATCACAATAAATAACCAAGTGCAATAATTTGTTTTTTTTTTACCACAATTCTAAAAATTAGTGAAAGTCATTATTTTCTTTCAACTGAGCATGTGCAAATGCTGTCAGCATGGTGTGCATGTCCTCTTATTGACACTTATCAGCATTATTGCTTGTGGGTCCACTTGAGTTTGGAAAATTTTATGACGTCAAGAGTGTGTCAATACTGAGGGCCTACAATTCAAAGCCGTGAGCAAATTATTGTTTACAAAATTTTTGCAAAACTGTATTGTTTCAGAGACTTATACTTAGGTTAGAGACTTGCATTTTCTAATGCCATTTCAGTACTAGTATGTAGATCAAACTGAAGATCAATTTCATGTTGCSTTTTTGAATTTTTCTTTTTCTCTCTTTTTTCGTTTCTTTTTGTGTGCGTGTTATGGCGCGGTGGACGGTACGTGTTTTTTAAAAGATTTCTATTTTGGGTTTCCTGTTTCATTTTCAGAGTTGGGATTCCTGTGTTTAGCCTGCATGTAGTCGCTKTTCTCACGGTTGTGTTTACAGGAAATTCTCAGACATTTTCTATTTTTACCAAAGAGAAGCAACCATGTARTTGAAATTTTATACACTTTCATTGTATTTTTTCGAAGTTTTGCTCTCACTGGTGGAAAAGTTGTCTAAAAGGCGGGAGAAGTCYGTAGTTATTCAGCAGTCAGTTTTAAAACTGAGCAGCAGCACCATCATCTTGAGGAGCTCCTAAATTTGTGAACTCTTATTCTTAGAAAAACTGTTGTGCGACAACTTTTATTGTAAGACTGAACAACTAGGATGACACAATGTAACACCATTTTGGTCGAATATTTTAAGATGTAATACTTGTGGAGTTTTACATGTAAGCTTTGGTGGTGAGCAGGACAAATTTCTACATTCGAGATGTTYTCCGATGATGAAGAAGCCTATTATTTTGCTCATCCTGACTACATGTACGATACCGAGGATAGCGAGCCGTATTACGATGATGACGACTATTACGAAGATGATTTTGGTTTTGATGCTTATACAGTAAAAATGCTGGAAACAGCACGATTCAGATGTAAGCTTGAAGATGAGACAGATGATGTCGGCCCAGTAATCTTTCAGCCCAAGTCTCTTGTTGATGTCTGTTGCAAGTATTTGGCTGTCAACTTYCCMTTTGCCTACCTACAAGACAGGTTTCCTCCAGTTCCAGATGATTTGCAACTGAAAGTCATCACTTACTCATTTCCAGAAAAACAAGATCAGATMAGAAAGTATGCCGAGTTTAGTCGGCCTTCTGTTGATTTGGCCTTTCAAAAAGCCATGTGCACTAGTGACAATGTGACCAATATGATGCAGATTGGTAAGTATTTAGTTATTTAATAAATAGCATTTAATAGATAGTTTCCTATCCATTGTTCAAAAGGCATCCAAACTATTTGGGTACATGTAATTTTTGTGTGCTGGAATTTATTGTAGGGTTAATATAAGCCTTCCAAGATTTCTYGGTGGCCATATACATCCAGAGGGCCGTAGACCATGGACCCTAGGCATGTATATGACATGTTGGTGACAATCAGTTTAATTAAGTATTTTATTGTGGCAGAAAAACAATGCAGARTGATGGTTGTCAATCCAGTCATTGTTCCAGAAAAAAAATAACATGGCACACACCCCGGGGGGAACTTTTAGGGTCAAAAATAAAACCCTTGCATACCTTTTGGGGTACTGAGCTGACTCCGTAACTTTTAGAACAACATGAAAAAAATTGAAGTGTTATAAAAAATAGATTTTATTAACCCCAACAACCAATGAAATTTATTTTCTACAGTTTGTTAAACTTGAGCTTTTCTCATGTTAAAGACGTCAAAAATGGTCGTATCTTTTAGGGTCTGGAACCGATATCTGAATTAATTTATGCGTACTATTTAGGCTCATTTCAATCTTTCCGCCAAGCATACCTACCAACTTTTATAAGGGAGTTCACCCCCCAGGGAACACACACTTATTTTTATATATATTTATTGGTGCAATCTGTTGATGTCATAAAATGTTCAAAACKTTACCTTGAACCCAGCCATTATCCTACATCTTACACCAATTCTTATTTAAATACAGGATTTCGACTGAGTGCAAATGTGGACAGCCACTACGTAACCATTCACTTTGACAGAGGAAAAATCACTTCGGCCCAGTGTTCATGTGGTGATTCATCAGGTTGGTGTTACCATGTCTTAGCCACAGCAGTGAAAAGAATCAAACACGCTGGGAAATTAGACAAATCACAACTGAGACTTCCTGTGTCCGATTCATTGAATACACTTAGTCGTGAACAGCTCCTGAAGTTTTCCCAGTACTTRCTGTACCATCACCAAAATCATAAGGTAGTTGAGACTGCACAGGGTTTAATTGACAAGCTAGTGGATCACCATGGTAACTATGGAGATGAAGATATAAATGTTGTTCAAGGAGCACCGGATCCTACTGCAGGACCAGGTCAGTCACATTGTTTTCTATTTTAGAGACGATGTAGAAATCTAAAGTCTACACGTAATGACTGGAGATAATAATTATTCTGGCTGTATGAAGGGCATCTGAGTCCAGCTCTACCAATTTACAGTGGAAATCGAAAAGCTGTGACCACCTATGAATATTTCAGGAATGTTGTTCATTGACCAATCAGAAGCGAGCTTTTAAAACCGTTATAACCATTAAAACTATCATCTAAGTATGTATATTTTGACATGCAAATTTGATCAAAATATTGTTACAAATAAGTGAAACTAGTTAACATGTATCATCAAAAAACGGCATGTAAAAGCTCACAAATACATGTAGTACCCAATTTTGTTGTTTAGAATAAACCCAAAGTTTGTTCAAACATTTATGTTCTTCATCATGCTTTCTTGTTKGTCAGCTAAAGYCAGTTTTCAAGACGCAAACATTTCCAAAATATTGGTGGTCATGGCTTTTTTTGATTCATACTATAATCTATTGGCCTATTTAGGGACAAAATTTTGATATTATGTATTATACATACTTTAATTTTGTGTTTCAACCCCCGCCCCTTCAAGTCAGCAAATGCCATTAAAGCCCCCCCTTCATTGTCTGTTTATTTTCCAAATCCCCTCCTACCTTTCCAACAGCCCCCTCCCCCCCTCCCCCCCCAGGTATAATTGATGAACGGTCCCTTACCTATTATCATGATGTCACATTTTGGAGGTAACAGGTCACATAAACTGTTGAATGGTGATTGTTAGACACAGGATGACCAAAAGGCATTACTAAGTTATAAATTACCCAGATGTCTAGTAGTCACAGAGTTCACTTTTGCCATATGATGTCACATACAATATATCATGTGACCATGGGAAATTGGATGCAATAGACCTTTTCTGATATACAATGTATGTAGCATTTTGCATTGCATATGGTCTAGATTCGGTACAGATATCTTTTGTTCATGCTGCCGAATATGGCGTTGTTTGTACTGAAGCTAGACCACAATGCACCATGATTTTGTATTTCAGAAAAGGTCTCTTCCACTTGATTTGATTTTGCAAATCAAATCTGATCAAATAAACTCATTTTGCATGACAATGTTAATAAATACTGTGTCATTTTTTTAAGTTAGAGTGCTTTCAGTAAAAGCATTRSTAATAAATGTTATTTCTGTCAATGTCTTTCCCTTACATTTCATATATAATAGGTCTTGATGAGGAGAGTCACTGGTTTATGTGTGATAAAGGCTTCAAAGAGAAATGCCATTTCATAATTAATGAAACATTGCAGGCACTTGGATTTGCCTGTCTAGAGAACAGTGAAAACTACTCTTTAACTGACCTTTGGTATAAAAACAGATGYCAAACACCTTTAGTTAAAGGTAACTAATTTCAGGTTGACTTACAATTATTAGAGAAATTAAGCATGACGTTCACGGCAAATTAAAAACGGCAGAAAAGATCACATGATCTGCTTTTTGGGGTTTTAACGTTACAGTTTCAACGCGAGAGTGGGTAATTTGGAGTTTTCCTTAATCGTGGAAAGTCGCTCTTTCCAATGACTACCAAAAGCACAAGGTCAGGCACGAAATTCTTAGGTCATTGGTTCAGCTCTGCCGTTAGTCATTTGCCGTAAATGTGATGCTTAAACTCTCTATTATACTTTATTAGACAAAAATTGGTTTGCCGATGATAACTCATCCTCTCCTGCCATTTTCTAGTACTGAGGCTTAACTCATGCCACTTAAGACTTTTGAAACCGTATAACAAAAGACAGGTTACTTGATGGCAACATTCCATTCCCTTTCTTTGATCTACGGACTGTAGTTTTACACTACAACAAGTCTCAGCAAGTCAAATTATCACCACAAGTGTAAAGTGAACTGTATTTTGGAATCCTGTAAAATGAAATCAAAACATCAACAGTATTTTTTTTAGTTGAATTTATATCAAACTTCACAATGAAAACATGAAGCTTCTTTAATCAACAGATGAAGTTGACGTTGCACTTGGCTCCGAGTTTTATTCATGTTCAAGACACCAGTCTGTTTCACTGAAAATCCTTGAGACAGTTCTTGAGTTGTTACAAGATGACAGTACAACTGGATTAACAGCCATTAAGTCATGTACAGAACAAGTTGTGTCACGTTTAAGTAGGAGGAGTTATCGTTCTGTTACACGGTCAGATCCTCTGAATAGATTCCTTTGCCATTCAAGTGTTTCACCAGCAATGGGTTTTACTGCAAGGCCGTTCAGGTATTTAGTAACATATAATTTTTAATCTTTTCATCACTTAATTATTACTAACATTGTATTATATTGAGCATTTGCACATGAACCATGCAATAAAATCCAATTCTAACTTGCTACTATATCTAACCCTACACTTAGGAACAATATTGGCCATGTAAACTGTCCTGGATTTGTGATTAATAACTTATATTATTATTTTGATTTGATTTTATGGTTCACATGTGTCTGCTGTATTGTTACTATTGAATTATAAATTCGATCATATTTTTTTTGTTTATCTTACAATTCCAATTATTATAGCTCTATTTAATATCTTATTATATTTTGTTTTCAATATCTTGTCTCTAAAATAGAAGTTGGACATTATGTGATGAACTGTCCAGGCTGTGGCAAGTCACTGTACTGAACCCAAAACTAAAGACCAAGGAACGYGAACAAGTTGCACAAGAACTTTTTAACTGGAACCAGGAAGGTACTGRTCATGTTATTCTTAGAATAATCAGTATTGTGACACAGGAAGCCCAATAGGTCCTGGTTACCCAGAGCCAGAGGCTCATATATGTAACACTACTGACATTAAGTATGCAATGTGTAATTTCAAATAGTGAAAATAATTTATCATATTTTTTTAAAGAACTATCATTTTCTGTAAAAATACCCGCCTATAACTAGTCTCCCGTTCTTAGTGGCGGGCTCCCTGTCCCCCGCCCGAGCCCGCCACTAAGAACGGCTGCGAGGAGACTACCTTATAACTTATCAATTATATTTCTACCCTTACATTTTCCTTTGTTTTGACTAGTCCAAACAGGAAGCAATGCAGATTTACTTGTAAGATGGAATGGCCTTGAAGTAGCTTACAATCTCTGTCAACACATCAACTGGAATAGTTTGGAAATGCAGGGTATTATAGATGGCCCCATACCAGCACATTACTCCATCAGTGGAATCACCCTAGTTGAAGTTAAAYTAGAACATGATCAGTTACTTCACTGTCATTTGCCATATTGCTTTACATATGGGTCAGTAACACTTGATATTCTAACCTGGTGTGCAATAATCCATACATTGGAAGTGTTTAACTATCGTACAACTGCWGTGAAGATTGSTTTTTGCCTGTCCATAGCCMTTATTACATTGTACCAATGCAATGCTGATTCCAGGGCGCAATTATCTGGTTTACCCATAGTGCAGAAATGCTGTCTTGACTACATGGATTCTAAGAACACAGCCGACCAAATTAAAAAGAAGAAGAAAGAGGCCAACCAGCAAACTGAAGTGAAAAAGACGAAGAAACACTGCAACCAGCAAACTCCTAATGGGACAAACAAGAAAAAATCTGAAAATAGTAGTGAGGAACAACAGAATGATTGCTTGTGTCCTTTGATATGGCCGTCTGATGCCTTAGTCTCACTACGGTGTGTGGCATTTCTACATAATGTGTTATGGTCAAACAAATCTAAGACTGAGCCCCTTATTGCATCACAAAGACAGCAACATGCAATTGGCAAAGCCAAGTTCAGTTATATCATATCTAATATTTTAGATACAGAATCACTTGTTTTTCAACTTGGTGTCATAGGATTGCTGCTACCAAAATTCCCCATGTCTGCCTTGAAACAAGAAGTGAGTATGCTGGAAATGCAATTGTTTGTCTMTCTCACATTGTCTTCATCTTCCATCTTCCCTGTTCTTGTTTTCTCTTCAGTTTTCAAATTCATGAATAATTAATGAGGGCACAGCAAAGAAGTGTCACTAGAGCGGATTTCATATGACTGTGCAAAAGCATGGATCACAACACGGCACGGCACGGTCACGGAACCTCGCCTTCTAGGATTTCAAATGAAAGTAAAGATTTTCCAATGCATCACGGCTACAGCACGGTGTGGACACAGCACGAATGTACCGTGTTTTTTGCACAGTCATACGAAATCCGCTCTATAGTGAAGGGTTTGGAAAAGTGATCTAAAACTTGCATAGAAACTTTCTGTGATTTTAACATTCATTGTCCAAGAATTTGAGTAATAATTTCAAAAACTCATTCCCTTGTTTCACTGGGTTTTTCAGCACTTGAAGAAATAAGAAAAGCTGGGCTTTTTAAAATGTTTTCTCATCCTTGAAATTRCCTAAAATAACACTTGAATTCATTTTTGAAATAATGCTTCCCAACAGTTTCTTATTTTTATGTTTTTTTCCAATTCTCTACTTGCGCATACCCATAATACCTTCAGATTTTGGGGAGTAGTTATTGTTATTGAAGTCATTTATATTTGAATAACAATTAATTTTATTTGCATCACAAAACCTACCCCCCAAAATCAGAAGGTATTATGGGTCATGTGAAAGTAGAGAATCCTACTTTCTCTTCCCTCTTCCAGCCTCTCTCCACTAACTCATTTCTAACATTTTTTTATTGTTGTTGTTTTGTTAAAATTTAACAAGGATTATCAATAACTAGCTTGTTTTTCTTKTGCAATAGGTAGAGCTTTATGACATTGAAAACTGGTTAACTTTCCAGCTTGTTGACATGAAACCACCTTCACAAAACGATCTGGACTTGCTTCATTCTCTTTGCCGAACTGCAATGAAAGGAGGATCTCACAGGTTGCTTTCACCATGCAGTTCTTTCACCAGAGTTGTGCTATATCATAACTACAAGGAGCTGTCAATTCTAAGTGATGATGTACTGGGGCTAGTTTTTCATACCCTCGAGTTTGCTGTCATTCAAGACAACCAGGCATGTCCACAAAATCTGTTTGAGTTTTCCTTTGCAGTACCTTGGTGTAAGTTAGCTGAACTGACTTTGAGTATATTAGTTGTTGGCAAGACATCCCATGTGGAGCGTACAATAAAATGCCTGCTGAATAAGAATGGAGTTCTGGGGGAAGGCCTGCTTAAGCTACARCTTTCATCAGAAGATGTCAAAAACAGGCATTTGCTTCAGTCTACTTTAAGAGCCAAGAGTTGGATATGCTTTGGATTAGCTAAAGCATTATTAGAAAGGATAAAAAGATCCAGCAAGAGCTCCAGTTACAATGGTCACAAATGTATTTCCATAACAGAAATCCTTACTGGGGTTACTGATAGAACTCTTGAAGTATTCCCACCTGTTAGCAGCCCCTCRGATATTATGTCCCTCAAGAAATTAGCCATTCGTCTTGGTGCCCACAGTGCTTACCTTGAGAAAACATCTGATCACAGC